CGACGACAACCAGGGCCTGTGACTGTGAGGCTGTGACTGTGACCTCCCTAACAAACATGACACTTAAGTATTCTGAAGACCAGAAAGCTGAATGGTGGTGTGGGTGATAGGTGCATCCCTGCCATGATGACAGGACAAAAGTTCTTCATAGTACAATAGTGCCTTGAAGTAAGAAAGTTAGTAACTTACCTCCCAGTTTGCCAAAACTAAAGGTAGCTCACAGAGCTTGCCAGCTATTTTTACACCATGTTGCAGGATGCTATGGTCTGGTTGTAATGGCTGAGGAATGTTGCCTGTCAGCAGAGAAATTGAGAGGTCGTCCCCCTGGTTGGTCTTTTTGACTTGTGCATTTGCTGCCAGCTATTCTTGTGCTATTAAACATACCCAGCATTGGCAAATGCTTCTTCCCAGGTCATGACTGGGTGATCAATGATCCCTAGTAATGTGTTTTCCAGGACTTGGGAAACTGCCCCTTTAACTCATCCTTTTTTTTCCTTTTGTGTAAGACATCAGGAGTATCAGGTGCTTGCTGTAAGGAAGCAGTTGGCCTGAGCTCTGTCTGGAGGTTTCTACAGGTGGAGATAATCTCATATGACTCCCTGGTTAAGTCTGTAATGCTGGGAGTGCTGTGCAAGGCAAGGTAGGACTTTTCAAGGCTAATATTACTGACCCCAGCCTGACTGAGTGCTCAGGTATCCAGCACACCTCCGTACAAAACAGGATGCTGCTGCCCTTCGTGGATCTTCTTCCACAAGGAAGATGCTGTCTCTGAATCTGTTTAAGCCCATGTCAACTGACTGCGATGTTGAAACACAAAAGGACAGCCTTGTTGACTGGAACACCATAGGCTCCTTGAAGTGCTGTGCTGCTTCACAAGATACATTTAGCAAGGCAGGCGTCTGTCAGAGTACCCCAAACTCACACCTCTGCCAGTGGAGCTTTGCTTTAAAGGCCCTCCAGTGGAATGCACATGCAGGCAGCTACTGGAGGGAACAGGAGGGATTTCTAGGGCATGGACTTCTTCAGGATTACCATCTAAGCATATATTCTGCATCTTCCTCTCTCTTTCTCTTGTGGTGCCAGCCATTCTGGGATTCCCTCAGTCAAAGGACCAGATCTTTGAAGAGCAGGAAGCATGAGCCATTTTTTCTTTCTTTTTTTTTTTTTTATTAAAAGTCTAATAACATGGGGATGGCTTTTCTGTGTGTCAGCATGCAAGTTTACACTGACATGTATATGCTGTTATTACAGATTTTTAGAAGATTTCAGCTAGTAGATTTTAGTCATAAGAAACATTATCCTCACTTTTCCACTGATACAGTGCTCTGGTAATTAGGATGAGGTTTTAAGACTAAATTTACTGGAATGATGTGTAGAGGAAATACGAAGATGATAGTTGTTTGTTTATTTTTTAAATTACAGAAAACCAAGTTCTACCTGGATGTGCTCTCTGAAGGTGAGGTATATGTGGAAAGTATGCTGTCCTCGAGGAGAGCACAAGAAACAAGTCAGAAGACTTGTAATTATGTACACAGTTGTTTATCTTAAAGTAAATAGGCCTTAAGTGTGTCATTTCCAGTACATGCACTTTGTGTTTGAAATACTTATTTTGGTAGTTTGAGTCAGAAATACATACAGTGGTTTTGGTAATTCACTGTTTTTATACATAAATGTTGTCCTACAAAATAGGATTCTATTGCTAGAGAGCACAGGATGTAGAAATATCTGTCAAATAGCTAAATAGGTTTGGTATTCCAAAATTATAATTGAAACAATTATGTGCTTTTCTTCAAAGGTTAACTGAGGGTTTAGGGACAGAGACCTGCTATTTCATTTTACTTCCTAGCTATCTGCAAGCTTAGGCAAACACATGTTTTCTCTGGGAAAGAAATGTAACTTTATTAATTCTTCTACATCTTAAAGACAGGGAAAGGACGTTTTCTTTTTAAGGAAGCATACATAGCAATACCAAAGTCAATATTGGTGATAGAAAGTGTCCTGGCAACTGGATAGAAAAACAGTTTTCTGTCCTTCCGAGAGAGCTTGCGTTCTACGTTCTCTCTTGAAGTTGTGGATGTTGTTATGTGTCAAGCTGGGGAAATCCAAATCCGAAGGAAGGCAGTGATACTTGGGATCTTGGCAAGTACCACATGCAGGCCTCTAAGAAAGCCTCTTGGCTTTGCCAGATTGGTAATGCATGTTGTTCAGAACCTGGAAATCAGTATTATCTGAAAGAATTGGTGAAAAGGTTGGTACAGAAATCCCTAGCTTGTTACTTTCTTAAATTCATTAGCTAGTAGTGAGGAAAGTAGCGTTCTGCAAATATGTAAATCTGTTTGGGGTTTCTCTTCTGTGACTTGAAATTTTTTGCAAGCACAGCTGAAGGCAAAGCTTAGGTCCCCTCCTGCAGCTGGATTAGTAACATTTATATCGGTCTGTGAAACCTGACAAGAAATTGTGTGTGGAATGTCTGACTCCCGAAGAGACCATTTAAACAGTTCTCTAATCTGTTGCAGAAAAGGCATGTCCTTTTTATTCCTGCTTTTGGCCTTCCTCCTCATAGTTGCTTATTGAATGTTGACTGAGGGCTTAGTTATATAATAAATAGATTTTTCCTCTCTCATGTTGTGTATTTCTTTAGTTACATTCAGAATGTAGTCACAGTTGTTCAGAGTGCTTTGTCTGCTTAAAGCATCTCTGCTATCTTGTTTCCTCCCACTCCTTCCATTTAGGAGACTGAAGAGAAAAATGATCGTACTCAAGTCTTACAAAGTACTGTTTTGTTGGCATCCAATTGACCTTTCTGCTCTGCAAGCATAACATTGAAGGGACATAAAAACGCTGCTGTCCAACGAACAAGGATGTTGTTATAGACTCTCAACCTCACAGCGATATACAAATGTTTACTTTTCCTGATAGCCTGAGATAGCTAGTTTGTCTTCTGATTTAAAAAAAAGAAGCTTTGAAAACAATTACTGTGTTTGTAGAGTCAAAAGAAATAATGTGTTGCATGTGTCCAAAATGAAACTGCTCACTTTTGCTTATGTTAAAAATTACTCAGGTGCTTGGGTTTTATGCATTCCAACTTCTCATTCCATGAGTGGTAGCTGATGATAAAGGCTTGGTCATAGTGGAAATAAAACTATGCCATTTGCTGGTAGTTAAATAAGTAGTAAGAAAGATGTTGCTATCCCTTTGTTCATTAGTGACTTTTGGGAAGGTTAGTTAATAGCCAGTTTTGAAGACACAGCTGTGAAATTTTGGGTAGAGAAGCAACCTCTTTGTCAAAACCTGTCATCTGGTTCTGAGTTTTGTTGGATGTTGAGAAGAATGTTAATGAAGCAATCCTAGTAGACCAGCACCAGTAGTGTATAGTCTTGCTACCTCTCCCTGTGTCATACTCTGAAATGAGAATTTTTCTACGGAGAGTATTTGTCAGAGCAGCAAAAATCCTTGTACTTGAGACCAGTTGTACCAGGAGAACAAGCCTGTAAATTGTTTGGGAAAGCTAAAATAAGAAAAGCAAAAAAAAAGGATCATTGATAAGAGGAGATGAGCATCATCAGGGTGTTTGCTCCTGTCTTGTCAGGAGATGCAAATGATGTTATTCGAGGTACTCGTTTGCTCTCCACCATCTCATTTCATGTTTATGTGGCTGCCTTATGGCTTCCTTTGAACATACATTCTTTGGAGCAAGAATTATACTTACCACATATATTTTGCCTGGTGGAGAAAACACATACCAGGCTCCCTGTCTTTTTAAAAAAAAGATTAGTATTTAGGTCTTCTTGGCACCCCAACTCGGGAAGCTTGTCAGTCAGGAAGGAGCAGAGCCCCATTTTTAGCGACTCCCTTCTCCTGTTGTCTGGATGTCTGTAATGGCCTTCCAGGGTGCTGTCTGTTCAGTATTTGGCTGTTGTACTACAGTGCAAAGGTAGAGACACGAATTGCCTGTCACGGCCCTGCCTGCAGCCTCTGGGCAGTGATTACCCTTTGGGGATGCATCCTGCCTGTGCTGAGTGGATCTGGGCTGTCTACCCATTAAATCTGCGGAAAGTTGGTGCTTAACCCATTGAGTGGGTTTGTAGTCAGCTTTTGAGGCTGTTACCACTCTGTTGGTTACTCTTGATTTTCCTAATGCTTGTCAGAAAGGTTAGCTGTTGTGAATACGAGGTGTTTAAAAACGAAGTCATCCTTCTGTTTAAGTCTACTTTACATCTAAACTGAACAAAAAACCTCAGGTTTATGTATGCTGAGAGAGCTTTTGAAGCCTCTCATGGGACTTTTAATTGCCTTTTTACTGACTGTTTGTGCAAATCTGCCATGCTGTAATTAGAATTTTACAGTGGGGAATGATCAAATAGAAAGTACAGCAGCAGTGCTGACTGGAAGTCTAGCTCACGTTCCCCCTTTTGTTTTACTGTCAGGAAATGCTTATGTATTTTAGCATTAATGGGGACTACTATGCTTTTAAAAGATCTATCTAATTATGTAAATAAATTGGGCCATTATGAGTAAATGTTGCTGAAGTTTTCAAATGTAAAATATTCCTTTTTACAGTTTTTTTGAGCATTTGCTTGTAGCTGTGTAAAGGTTAGTGATGCTTGTAAAAGACCCTAACATTTCTAACTCTCATACGATTTACCTAGGCTGTACACATTTTCTGACTGTATCGATGCAAATGGATAAGTAGCTGTACATTAATAACTTCTGAAGACTTTGAGTTTAACGTTTCTTTTCCACCCTTTTTTTGAGTTGGTAGTACTGTATTGCCCTCATGGCTAAGTCCTCTACTCCGCCTTGTGGTGCATGTGAGAACTTGTAGTAAGAAAAGGAGTATGTAAATAAATGTATGGGAACATTTATTTTGATAACGTTGACTTTTTTGCTGGGTTTTTTTGGTTCTATGTTATGCTAGAATGGGCATTTACAGAAATATCTATTATCTGTATTTTTTGTAGTGTTGGAGTGCTCTGTGCATATGCTGCCAACCAGCATTTAACTAACCAAGTCCGAGGAGCAAAGAAACTGGTTAACAGTAATTTTAAAGATCTGAAAATTTTCCTTAACGACACTCCAGCGGTAAAGAATTTTATTTATTTTTTTTTTTCCCTGGGGAGTGGGGGTGGGAGTGAAGAGATGTAAGAAAAAAGTATTGCAGAAAAAAATTGTTTCTGTCTGGTATTTTCTGTTCTGCAGTATTTTGTTTGTTTGCTTGTCAGTCTCACAAAGCAGAATAAATGATGCAAGGTAAGACATTTTCGTATGGCAGTAAATGCTTGGGAGTCACCATGATGGATCAGCTTTCTTTGAGCAGCTTCTGAGCTTCTCCTGGAGTGCGCTGCAGTGATGCTTGTAGGTCCTTTTCCTCCTCCTGAACTAGTGTAGCTGGCTAGCAGAAGGTGACTAAAATGGAAGAATATTGTTTTAAAAGTAATAAATATTAAAAAAAAAAGATATTACTTGAGTATTTGGATTCCTTGTTGCTCTTTCCTATTTCCTTGTATTTTGGACTTGTAAGTGCTCTGGGACTGAGCTACAGTAGCTTCTTTTCCAGAAGTATTTTTGGCTGTTTTTTTTTTTTTAAACCAGTGCCATACTGTGCCATACTGAACAAGAAAGATTCTCTCCTTTCTACTTTCAAATTTCCATTAAAAACCAGTCTCCTGCATATCTTTTTTGCGTTGAAAGGAAAGAAGAAATCCTAGTAAGGAAGACATCTAAACTTTCCCATGTACAAATTTCAGTTCTTTATGGATTAGAAGGCAAAAAAGTCCAACAGTCCCTTTATCTTGACTTCCATTAATTCTAATTTATAAAATTAATTTAATTAATCTTTTTACTTCCACATGACTGATAAATTAGAAATAGGTGGAGTTCACACCTATCCCATGTGGTACCATCCCAGTCACAGTAGCTCTGGGCTCCCATAACCTGTGAGCTGTTTTTCTGCTGTCAGGACTGTGTGAGAACAGGAGACATCTCGGGGATGCCATTAAATGTCTCCATGTCTGGATTTGCTCACTATACAGTTACTCATTTGTGCATGCCACTGTTGTGACAGTCCAGTGAGGGAGGTGTATAACAGGAATTCACACCAACAGTCTCTCTTGAAACAAAATGCCTTTCTTCATTCTGGAGCTGACTCAGGGCATACAAAGATGTAATCCGGTTGCATCACAAAGCACCACACTTGCCTTCAAAGCAGGCTGTGCTGGCATCTGGAAACATTGAGGTGGAAAATCTGTTACGTAGAAGTGCCTGTCTTAGTAGAGAAAAAAATATGCATTAGCTAAAAAGTTAGTAAAGCTGCCTGAATGATTGAATTTAAGTGTGTCAGGACTTGAACACTTGTACCAGGGGCTCCTTAAAGTCTCAGGTAGTAGCTTTTTAGTTTCTGTGCAGGATTATTAATTTTTTGGTTTTTTTTTAGACTTGATGGCACTTAATGATGCAGTCATCAAATACATCTTCTAAGTAATTTTGACAGACAAGGTAGATGGTTATCATGTATATGCGCACATTTGTAAGAATTTCTTGAGGACAGGAGAAGGATTTCAGCTTCTTGAAAAGTTGTAGAACCCAACTAATTGGCTGTAAAGCTCTGAAATCCTAACTGATGTCCTTGACTCATCAGTATGTGGTGTACAGCATATAAGAGGATTTGTGAAAAGAAGTCACGTGTTAAGAGTTCCTGTCACAGAAGATTTGCAGACTATGAGTATTGAGCGATAACACTATTAGTTATACAGAATCCCCTTTTGTCTGTGACATTGCTGGAGACAATGCAAAACCTGTAGCCCTGCAAAATTTGAGCCCTTAATTAGCCTAGGAAGACAAAACAAACATACAAACAAAAATATACCTGCAGCCTTCTCAGTTAGAAACACTCATTTCTTCGGAAAAGCCTGCCTCATACTTTGTCATTTAATTACATCCACTGCTGTATGATCAATAGGTTGGTTTTACGGTGGTTTTTTGTCTATCATTTTTTTCTTTACTCTCCAGAAGGTTTGAGACTGATACACTTTGGTACACATTTGAGTTACGTTTAAAATTGGAAGCCCATTTGTCAAGTGTGTTGACTTTTACATTACTTTGACTCAGTTGGGATAGGAGTCATAATGCGTCATTTTAAACATGTGGAAATCAATGAAGGTTATTCCATGTCTTTTCAAAATTAGTATAGTAAGATTTCTACTAGGGATAGATCTGGGGTAGCCTTTTGTCCAAACCTAGGATCTGGTGACAACTAAGTTGCTGGTTTATATTAACCGTTTCTTGGTGGAGCCCAAGATGTGAGTGAGCCAAATCTGCCTGGGAGTGAGGAAAACCATTTGCATTAAGACAGGGCAGCAGCTGGCTCCTTTCTGCAGGAGAAGCCCTGAGAGGTCGACCAGATACAAGCCAGTCTGGTTGGTGAATTGCTTCAAAATTAACACCCCATCAACTTGTCGCGTGTCTCTCCGTGAAGGGGGAACTAATGCCACTAGAAAATCAAATAACAGAGATGAGGACATGCAAAACTTTATTGGCCTGACTGACTTGAAGCCTTCATAAGGCCATAGTTCCTGCTACTTAACACTTTTAAGCTGAATAATTTACCCTGGAGACGTTCCAATTAAGTAGATTTCCCAATTAAATGTATCTTTTATTACGTGCAGTTCTGCCAAGCAAGGTTTTAAAATGCTTAGTTAACTGAAAACAGTAGGATTTTGGAGGTTTGTGCAAATATTTTGATTATTTCAAAGTGGCAGTTTGACTTATTATTTAAAAGCATTAATTTTTCCAATTATTTTAATAGGGTTTTTATCATCTTCTTTTCAGCAAATTGACTACTTGGTGAGCCAGTACAACACAACTAAGGATAAAGCACTCTCTGACCTAAATAGTAAGTCCTTTGATTTCAAGGGGGTTAGTGATGTGTATTCAAAGACTTCAATAAGATGCTGTAAATAGCTCATAATGCAAAGTGAAATTTTGTTTATGAGAATATGGTTTTCAAGCAGAAGTGCTGTTCTCAGTGGTAAATGAGACTAAAGCCTAAAATTCTTTTCACATAAAATGTCTTAATGTCTCGGAGCTGGTGTAATGCATATTATTTCCTGAAATAAGTATTTTATTAAATTGCTTATACAATAAGTCAGGCTAATATTTTATTTTCCTTTTTATAGTTCAGTAACCACTAATACTTAATGCTTTTTTTATAATATTTCTCAGTTTTTAACTGTGGAGCCAGATGCCAAGGAACAGAGCTGCTAGCTCTTTTGACGGTTCAAATGAGCAAGAGATCTCTGTATTTGTTTATTTTTGTTGTTATACCTTTGTCCTCTACTCAGCTAGAAGTTGAGGTATAAGCTTATCTTCTTTCTAAAGCTGCTTAATGTATTTGCCATTTCAGAATGAGCAGTTGAAGAGTGGGAGATAAAATTTGAAATACAACAGCTGTGCTTTCCCCTTCAGCACATTTACAATATGTCACCTTTTAAAGCCCTCAGTAAACAGAAACAACCAAACCACTGAGGTTTTTTCTGGAATTTTAGCATCACTTTCCAAAACTGATAAAGATAGGAAGGGTCAACTGGATTCAGTGCAGATTAGAAGCAGATTAGAATTCCAGATGTGTCATTAGTAGGTGTTAATAAATGTGTAAAGGTCTGCGTTTCAGACTGAAGTGAAATACAGAAATACCAAAACTGATTTCACACAGGACTGTTGCTGAGATCAAGCTATGCAACCGTAGTGACATGCCACTTACCATGAATTGAGTTACCATGCCCAGAATCTATGCTCCTGTCTGCGTTTAAAATTTATTTTACACGTAGTTTTCAATGCAGCCAGCTTGACATACCCTGAGGTCAATGTGTCTTGTTTGTATGAGGCTACTAAAGCACATTGAATGTGGTTGTGAAAGTAGTTGTAGTAGTAGTGAAGTAGTCTTCCTGCTTAATTCTAGGCAGAAACGGTCTGGTCTAAAGAAAAATGTGTGTCATCATTAAGACTATAGTAAGAAGATTAATAAATTGACATCTGCATTTCAAGTACTAGCGTGTAGTGTCCCAGGCACTCCAGACCAAAAATTCAAATTAAATATTTATTTGCTCGTAATGTCAGTTTAATATGTTAGCTTACAGGAACCTAGCTGGATCTGTGATGAGAGTGCTTATCAATAAATGAAGGTAGCTGTTATTTTCTTGAAATAGCAGGAATTAAGTGTGTGACACCTGGGAACAAGAGGATTTCGTTCTAAGGGAATCAACAGTAGCATAAACCTTGAGAGAAATGTGGATGAGTTCAGTTTTCCCACCCTAAGGAAATGCTGAAAAGTGTTTTCTGCTTGATAATTCTTATCCCAAACCAGACATGACAGTGCTGACAGTAATGTATCATGTGGTATTCCCATCTCATCAGAGAAGAAAACCCAAAAAGCTGTTTACAGTGGTCTGAAAATGGAGGGTACACAGCAACTACTTAAAGGATATGTTACATTAAGATGCTTCACCCAACTCTGTGTGGTGTTTGTCTGTCTTCTTGCTGAACTAAGCTTCGTTTCTGTTTGTAGCCAGTGGGATGAGGGTTTGGAGGTGGGGACAGCAGTGGTTGAGCATGGAGCCAGTGGTGCGAGCATCAGTGCCCAGTGCCCTGTGTGAGGGGGCAGGGACCTGCGGCCATGTGCTTAACGCACTTAAGGGATTTCAGCAGAGGGACCTGTCAGCTCTGGGCTGTGGGTGACCTTGGCATTGCTGGACACATGAGGAACAGGAGAAGGGAAAAGAATTCATGTTCTTGTTTCTCTTGCACTATGAAAACGTAGTGTGTAGTGAGAGTGTGCTACAGAATTCCTGTCCAGGTGTTGGAACTCTTCAGGATAGATTGTGGAAAAAAAAATGTTTCCAAAAAAGTAGTAATTGCAATGAAATACATGTTCTTGAGTTTGTTGAAATGTCATGTCTCTTTACCTATATTGTCAAATGCTAGTGACTATTCTCACCAAATTTCATTCGTAGGCCTATAGCTAGCTAAAGGAGAACTGTGTTCCTGCATTATCTTCTGTCACTAAGTTCTGACAGTCAGAACTTATAGAAATTTTAATACTATGTCTATGCTTTGTTATGTAAAAGTAACAGCACCTATGCTAAGAGGTAGTTTAAATTGAACTGGTGTGTAATGGGCTTTTTATCTCTCCATACCACAGATGTTGGACCTTTGCTTGGAAGTAGAGTTCAAGAACAGCTGGGAAAAGAAGTGCGTCCCGCGCTTGATGCAGCTCTGACAATGGCAGGAGGTAAAGATGTACATATTGTTGTATTAATGGAGGTAAGGTTGTACATATTGTTGTATTAATGTTCCATTTTCAAAGTATGACAGGTATCATCTTTCTAGTGCACAGCATGGAATGGTTTTATGCAGTACCTAGATTCTATGTTTCTTTTAAACTGAGGATGTTGAATTTTTTATAAAGGTATTTAAAAACAAAATAAAGATTTATGTGCCACTTTTGATACTTAGTTTCAGCAGTCATTGAAGAGAGATGAAATCTGAATTCCCTGCTCAGGGTGGTTGTCATTTTCCACTGAGTATAAGGGAGAGTAGGGAAACTGTGCTTTAGGAGCTGTCTTCAACAGGTCAGGGAATGACAGTACAGTGGCCCCATCCTGTACATTGCCACACCTGTTGTGAGAGTGCTAACCATCATTTCTTCATTGTATTTTTGAGTTTAGCATTGCTTTTGCTTAGTTCTATCTCCCTTTAAAGAAAATATTCTTTTACTGTTTTTTGTATTTAAGGTTTTATTTCAGGAATCAGGTACTGCTTATAGAGTAAAGGGAAAGGCATCTGTGAACTTGAGTCACTTTTGGTTTTTTATCCATTAATTCTCTCTCATTCACTTCCCATCATTCTTTTTTGCTTTATTTCTCATATTTGTCTTGAAGTCAAAGTGGAAAGGGCTATCAAAGGTAAAAAAATACAGTAAAAACCTTGTGTTGTGTGAAGTGCACTTTATTTTTGTAACTTGTGTATTCTTAGTTGTATCTGTGTAGTTTTTGTCTACTAAAGACCTGTTCAGTGGTTGTGGTTTTATTTGGTGTGGTTGGGATGAAATCTAAAGCCAGGCAGTGCTGAAAACTCATTGATACTTGCTGATGCAACATGATTTTCCCTTTCATCTTGCAGCAACATAATTTGTGAGTTGGATTACAACCAAAATACTGAAAATACTGTTTAGTGGATATGGGCTTTCTTGTAATTTCTAATGACCAAATGTTAAAAGTTCTTTACTGAAATCCACGGGGTAAGGAGAGATAGGGAAAGGGTAGAAAAAAGTAATCTAGGAATTGGATAGGATATCAATAAAAGTAGCCTGAACATGTTCATTTGTTTGCAGGAGTACATAAATGATGAGTTTTTGTGTGCTATAAATATGTATTCTGTGCAAGAGGGTTTTTCTGGGATGGAGGTAGGGTTATTAAAATCACTGTTGTTAAGAACATCATAGCATTCACACGTGCACATTTTCTCTTCGTATTTGTACCTATAGACTAGCTTCTAATTGAAGTTTTACATTTACATCCTTGCAGCCATCAGAGAAACAAAGGAAGCACTGGAAAATGTGAGCGTCTCTGTAGAGGTTTTGCAGGAGGGAACAGAGAGGCTTCATTCAAACTTGACAGATGTTAAAGTGCACCTAAGCAACACCCTCAATGATTCTGCTTGCTCTGCGGCTCAGGCTGCCTCGACTTGCAATATCATCAGGAATTCATTAAATCAGCTGAACATCAATGCCAATTTTAGTGGAGTAAGAGAATATTTCTCGTACTTTTACAGTGTAATTGCCTTGAATAAGCCCAGTAGTATTTCTGCAACGTAACGGCTCGGTGTGTGCTGTCACTTGTGAGATAAGTGACTTTCCATTATGCTGTGTTTCTGGGTAATTCCAGTCACTGTTTTCATCTTCTGTGTGGAAGAGTATAAAGCCTGTGTCAAGCAGCTACATTAAAGTGCTGCTCTGGGCAGTGAAATAATCTGCTCTCCCAAAAATGCCAAGGTTAAGCTTTACATTTGTACAACAACAGTTTCAGAAATATTCTACTACAGATTGTCTTTCTGGTTTCTTTACCCACTCTTCTGTCTTTGAAATACTTTGTAAATTAGCAAGACTATTCCTTTGATGTGGCTCAAGAATGCTTTTTGCTTCCTAGTTGCCAGGAGTGAGCTCACAGCTTGCCAAGGTCAATGATGTCCTTAAAATAGACCTCTCTAGTCTGGTTCAAAAGGTATGTTTCTTGACAAGCTTGTAAACTGTGAAATTACAAACTGGGATGCTTACATATCACTTGTTTTCCCTTGGCTTTCTCAGGCAGAATTCTCTTGTTCCTGCCTCATCCTGCCTCATGGTGGATATGTCTCCTTATTATTCCATTGTTTGGCCAAGATTTCATATTTGAAAGTATGAAAGCAGTGCTTTTGTATCTCCAGGATACTACAGATAAAAAAATGTATTGCTAATTGTCTGCTTGAAAGAACAATCCTTAAGAAACAAAAAGGCAGAAACATGGATCTACTAGCCTGCTCTATATTTTTTGGTTCAAACTAAAGAAAAAAAATATTCACACTCTCCTGATTAGTTGTATTGTATTCCAGATATTTTGAAATATGACTTTCAAATTCTTTATGGGCATATTTGATATTAAATCTGGTGAAATGGGCCTAATGTTATTACTATTAGTATTTTTGCAGGACTATCCACAAAACACCATGATTTCCACCTAGAAAAAAATGGCTTAGTTTGGACAGTTTAAATATCTAGCAATCCAAAAACATTTGCTAGGAGTAGAAGGCACTTTCTGAAACCAGAGGCTGTGTGTAAGGGGCTCAGACCCCGCCTGCTTCTGCAGTGATCAGACCTGCAGGAAGTAAGGCTTCAAGCATCCACTGCAGTGGGATTTCGTCTGTCCAGATGAGCTGCTGAGCTTGGTCCCCACAGCTGAGACCCTTTCTTTCCCCTTCTCACTGAAGAAAGCATTGCAGTGTCTTTAGAGGCAGTTGGATTTCATTGTTTGTAACGTGGCTTTCGTGTTAAGAAGGCACAGAATTGTGAAGAGAATGTGTTTTACTGGTACACAGTAGCTCCTTTCACTTAGTGAGTCTTCATATGTGTGTTCTCAGTTTTGTATGAGATCTGACAGGCAACTGTACTATAAAGTTTGAAATTACTGTGACTGAGGCATGTGTATTTAAATATAGATTTTTTTTTTTTCCCAAGGAATATCCTGGAGACCAAACTGAATTGGAAATATACTTCAGTTCCTATTTTGCTCTGACCTTTTCTAATGCACAGTGATAAAAATGTATTTTTCATAGTATTACCACATTCCTTTTAGCATATGAATACTTTCACTCCTTGTATAAAGGAGGAAAAAACAAAACAAAACAGATACTTTGGCAATGAGAAACTTGCAATAATATTTCCAACTTTTATTCTTAGGGTTATGCAGCATTTAATGATACTCCAGACTTAGTGGTGAATCAAACCAGGAACATTTTATCAGGTGAGGACAAACTGTGCTTTAACTTTGTTTGTTTAATGTTGATGTTTTTACATCACTTACTGATTTTCCTGTTTTCTTTTATTGATAATACATTTTTTGGGCTAAGTTCATTAAAAATGGAAATGTAAAACTGTTCTTATTAATTTGGTGCCACAAAAAAATCCATAAAAAGCAGCTGTGCCTTAATGAGGACCCAAAACTAAATCTAAAAATGGACTATATTGTATTTTATGGAGGAGTTTTATTAGGCTTTTTACTACTCAAATAATGAGAAATCTTGGGATCTCAATTGCACATTGATGCTTTTTCGTTATTTGGTTGCAAAGCTGATTTTCCTTGACCGATGTGTCTATGACATATTTAGGTGCGTGATGTTAAAAAAACTGAACTTGCTGCTGTATTAAAATGTAGCGGGAGGCCAAGGGGAGGTAAAAACATGCCGAAAGAATATTTTAAATGCCTGTCTTAATTGTTTTGTTACTTGAGTTTCAAATTGTTACTCTTTGACAGTACCCGGACACTTGACATTTGAATAAAATGTAGTATAGTGTATGTATACTAATCTGTTTTAATTTTTGTTCTTGCATTGTGGACCTGTTCTGCATATATAAACAGCTGTTCCCTGTAAGTTTTTATTTTATTTTTTTTTCCCCTGGGCAAAATGAAACACAGTAGGTATACAAGCATATACTGTGTGAACTTGCCTAAAATGAGCCAGTTTTCTAAAACTGATGTTATGCTTTTCATTGGGAAATCTAGTGCAGATTTTCTCATTTTCAGTATCTCCTGATATGCATAAACACAGGCAAACCATCTTAATTTATCTATTTATAATGTTGTTTTTATAAAAACTGAGATTGAGCTACAAATCAAACAAAAAAGGTAGTTTTACTAGAAAAACAATTGTATTTACTTGTTAACTTCTTTTAAAAGAAGAGTGTTTTGGTACCTGGTTGAATTTAGAAGAGTTAATGTCAAAATGAACAGCCAAAAACTCGTCCAGTTCTTGTTTGAGAAAGAAGATGTTATGCATCCTGCTGTTCCAACTGTGTTCCAAATTGAAGGAAGAGAGAGAGAAAACAGACAACGTGTTTTACAAATAGACAATATGTTTAAGTGAACTAATCTTGTCTTGGTGTATCTCAATAGTATCTCAACTGTGAGTGTAGAGCAGCGTGTTCGTTCATAACTTCAGGAAAAAAAATGGCTTAATTGATCATTATCTCAACAGTGTTGCTAACTAATTGGAGTGAATTTATTTAAGTAATCCTTTTTAATAAGATTGAAAATAACTAGTATAGATTCTCAGTATAGGCAGTCTAATTTCTTTCAGTGTTGTGTTCCCAAGGGATGGAGTTTAAATAGATTTTGATCTTCCTCGTAAACTTAGTGGCTAATTGTCTCGCTCAGTGTTACCATTTTCAATATTGCATGAATAGCAAGATTTAAGCTGGATAGATAAAAAGGTGATGTTCATTATAACAAAAGGAAAGAGAGAACTCTGGCTCAGCATCTACATCTTTCATCATTCAACTGAATGCTAAAAATAAAGTGTGTCTTTTCAAATGCCATTGTGTTACTTTGAAGCTCAGTGTTTTTGTTGCCTGCTTTTCTCTTCCTCACGCTTGTCTTCATGGCTTGCTTGTTACATGTGGCAAATAGCATTTTATAATACCTAAGTGGAATGTAAATTTCCTTTGTGAATCTATAACAGTGCAATATGTTTGTTCTTTTAGATATCAAAAATGTGCTGGAATCTATCGGTTCAAATATCACTACCTTCACAAAAACACTCCCTGTTCAGAAGATCTTAGCAGATTTGACAGTATATCTTACACAGAGCGAAGCATACGTTCAAGATTATTTTCCAGTAGTGGAGCAGTATGATTTCTACAGGTATGTACATGAAATAAGGCAGGAGTGAAGTGCTACCTGTTGTTAATACTTGATAACATTTTAATGTTCTGTAAAGGCAATTAAACTATTAATAATGAACACAGTGAAATAAAGATGCTATAAGGCAATTGTTTGTTACTGGCATTTTGGTAGAAGCCAAAACTGCAGCTAATCAAAAACTGGGTGCTGTTCCAGTACAGAGCAAGACATAGTTTCTACTCTGTAGGCCTTCAGGTCTTTTTCAGGAAACACAGATGTAGGGAAGTGTCAAAGGTAGAATGCATAAAGGAATGGATTGCTGCCCGATGCCAGAACAACTTCTTGTGTAGGACTTGCTTTTATTGAATTGCAGGTAAGTTGTGAGAGCATAGGACTGGAAAGGTCTTGAAGCCCTTCCGTTTTTATTGCAGCTTTTCTACCACAGAGGAGGAGTAGCAGGGATTCTGCTTCACACCTTGTAAATCTTTACACACCTATGCTTTTTCCTATTGATGTAGTACTTGTCTTTGTGAATGCTTGATTGTACCTTGAGAAAAACATTCTTCCTGCTTGAGACTTTTGTGATTCCTACAGCTGAGTAATAACCTCATATTTTGAAGCATAAAGCTTTTCATTTCATACCATTTTGCTTTGTTCAGTTTTAGTAATTTCAGTCCTCCAGCTCTTCAATTTCTCCCTAAATTTTGACACTTCAGTTGATCCTATATCGATAATTGCTTCTATCTTCATGTCATAATTGCTTTCACTGCTACAGAGTAAGTGTGCTAATGCAATTTAATTTTTTTAATGCAATTTAAAAAAAAAGTGAGCAGAAGACTGAATTTTAAGAACCTTACTTATAACCTTACCTTTAGCCCATTCCTTAATGGCAGTTTTTGTGGTGAGCCTTAATTTGACAAATATATCAATACTTCCTTTGAAGCTCAGATTGCATTTAACCAAATAAATATATTGATTTATTCTGCTAGGGAATGCCTCTGTTGATCTTGTATTTAGATTCAAAAAAGTGGAGAAATATATCTAATCTACATGACACGTAAATTCTTATTCTTGTCAAACCTTACTTAGTAGAACTTGAAGTACAAATGAAACCAAAAAGCCTGTAGTTGTCCAAATTATTTTCTATCAATCTCTTTCTTAACTGCAGGTGCATTATTCGTAGTTCATAAGTATTCTTTTATGAATCTGCCTATCAGCATTAATGTTCTTTCTCTTTATTGGCTATGCATATTCATTATGATATTCCTTTCTCTGATTTTTCTGGTTCTTGCTTTCTCCCCACAAAGGTATATGGGGGAGAAAAAGGAGCTTAAGAAATAAAAGCTAGGACAAGTGATGATGGAAAAGAAAAGTAGAGCAGAGGCAATTAGAGGGTGAAAGGCTAGAATGAGATACAGAATGTGTGAATAAATGAATGTGCTCCAAATACGTGGACAGATAGAACTGGTACGTGACTTAATTAATAAAAATGAAAGTTCAGTTCCTATCCCGTATCTTTCTCCTGATCACATTGCGTTAACTGCTCCATATATTGAAAGCATTCCAGCATAGACAGACAGAGCCTAGGTTTTAATAGCCTTAAATACAGTTACTTACAATTATGAGCCTAACACACTGTGTGCAAAAGGTAGTAAGCCTTCCAGTAAGAGCACTTACATACTTCATAACCAGTGGCCAGTCCATATTCATAAATTTCTCCTTTGCTTCTTGAGTAAATTACTGTTTGAGCATCTGCCTCGTCTGAGTCATTGTTTGGCACTTTGACACTTTGGTACAGTCCACCTGCAGCAGCTGCAGTTTGGAACACCTTGTTCCTGTGATATTTGCTCCCCAGCCCTTCAGTAGCAGCTGTCTATAATTCAACAGCAATTATGTTCTGGCCTAAAATACATGGTTGTGTAGGAAATGCTTTTTTTTATTACTAGCATTTGTTGCTCAAACAAAATCGAGCATGGGCCAGTTTTATTGCTTGATGTGTTCTGCAGATCTCCAGTGTGTTCTTTACATGCTAATAACCAGCTCCTTTGTCTTTGATTCCTTAGGTGGCTGGGTTGTCTCATTCTGTGTTGCATGGTGGTCCTGATTCTGGTCTTTTACTATCTTGGCCTGCTGTGTGGCACTTGTGGTTATGATAAACATGCTTCTCCAACAACCAGAGGCTGCATCTCCAACACCGGAGGAAACTTTCTTATGGCGTAAGGTTTCACTTGCATTACCTGTGTATATGTGCTGAAAAAAATAGAACAAAAATAAATATTAATCTCACGTACTTCCACTGAGGGACTTGGGGATTTTGGATTTCTCTTTCATTGAGGATCAAAGCTGAAGGATAAAACCTCTGAATCTACTGTGTTAAGGCAAGTGCTGGAGCTTACATTTCTGTGTAAGCCCAATTGGAAATTGCAAAAACTGGGAAAAGATAATTGGAAATATACAGGGAACTTGTATCTTTTTAGTACACTTGAGCACTTGCCTAAAAGAAAAAAAAAGCCACGTGGGGAGGCAAGAAACATTTGACTTTCTTGGAGCACTTTAGGAGGTTTGGAGTTGCTTTTGAATGTCTCCAGTAGTGGTTTAATGTCACTTCTGTTGGGTGCAAGAGAAGATTGCATTTGAAGTCTGTGTAAAACTATTTTTGAGAGCAGAAGGCTAGAGTATTGAATTTTAAAAAAATTATATGCTTTTGTGGCTCTTAAATCTTAAGAGTTTGCTTGCCCAGTGCAAATGGGAGCATTTTGCATATGCTTTAGCTGAAGACTGTACAGGACTGCAGTGTATAAGATGTTTCAGAGGCCAAGAGCATACTTGGAAAACAAGTATTTCAACCATCTAGCAGTGTTTATATTTGTTATAGCTGCTAATTGTTGGCTTCACTGTTGTCCAAAGTATACATGCTTTGTTCTTAAAAAGCAAAAATTTACTCAACTTATTTCTTTTTCAGTGGTGTTGGATTCAGTTTTCTTTTCTCCTGGGTGCTGATGATTGTGGTGGTGCTCACTTTTATCACAGGTGGAAATGTCGAAAAACTGGTCTGTGAGCCCTTTGAAGATAAAACTTTATTTAAGGTGAAGTTACTCAAGTTATTTAACAATGAATAAATTTCTCATGAGTCCTGATGGTCTTGTTAGTTATGTGTGGCTTAGTATTTTTTATGGGACACTTCAAGTGAGTTTGGATCTGGTTTTACTTTCCTCTTACGCACTAGAGACATTCATCCTTTCTTGGTTTAATTTGCTTTGCAATGTAAATACTGCATGCCTATCTTCCTTTGAAGACAGTTTTTTCTGTGATTCAGCATTTCTTGGTGACGTGGAGCTTTAATATTTACTTTCTGCACCAGAGGTTGAATTTGCTGTTTTGCTTGTGTTTCCATTATTGGGTGATAAGCTTAGATCTGGGTATGTGTCAAAAGATTGCATATGAATAAATTCATTAATTGAAAACTCTGAATTATAGTAACATTACTGAATTTTGTGTTCTAGGTTTTGGATACTCCCTACTTACTAAACCAACACTGGAAAAACTATCTTTCTGGCATCCTGTTTAAAAATCCTAATATTAACTTGACTTTTGAGAAAGTGTACAGGTATTAAAGTTATGGTCAAGATTTAATTCAGCTGATATGTATTGGTTTTGTGGTAACTTCTATGTTTTGTATTTCAAGCATATGCAAAAATGGCATGTGCTCCAGAAGACATTCTCATTTTTTAGTGAATTACTAGCAAAAACAATTTTCTCCTATATGTGAGTTATTAAAGGTAGTCTTAGCATAATATCATATAATGATACTAGTTGAGCTCTTGGAAAAAACATTTTGCATCTTTGAGACCACCAGAAATTGTTAATTACTTGCTTTCTTATAGACTGACCTTCAAAAACTATAGCCAGAACTCTTTTTAAGAGCTCATTTTCTTAGAATATGAAAACATCGTTAATCATTCTCTCAACACTTGATCCTCTAGGTGTTTTTCACAGAATCACAGAATATTAGGAGTTGGAAGGGACCTCGAATGATAATCCAGTCCAATGCTCCTGCCAGAGCAGGATCACCTATACTAGGTTGCAGAGGAACATGTCCAAGCAGGTTTTGAATGTCT